TTTTTTTGTTTTGTTCCTCTGTCTGGGTTGTTTTTTTTTTTTTTTGCTACCTTGTCCAACTCACTGATTCAGTCCTCTGCTTCATCTAACCTGCTTTTAATCCCTTTGAGTGTATTCTTCATTTCAGATATGGTATTCTTCATTTCCTCCTTGCTCTTATTCATGGTTTCTATGCCCTTTTTCATGCTGATGTAGTTCCCAGTAAGTTCTTGTAGCTTCATAGAGTTCCTTGTAGTTCTCTTGAGCTCCTTGAGCATCCTTATAACCATTATTTTGAAGTTTACATCTGAAAGATTGCTTGCCTCAACTTCACTTCGCACTCTTTCTGGGAATTCCTCCTTTCCTTTCAATTGGGGGGTTGTTTCTTTTCCCCCTCATTTTAGGTGACTTTTTGTTTGTTTCTGAATGTTAGATTGATCTTATTTCATTCCCTGTCTTCATGGAGTGGCCTTCTGTGGTAGGAGACCTGTGAGACTCAGTGGTATAGTCTCCTTGATCTCCTGAGCTAAATACTCTTGCGATGCCCTTTATGCTGTTAATGTGGGCTCTCTTACTGTAATTAATTGGGTTTTGTAATTTAGTTGTTGTTGAGTCACTCTTTGATGGATTCTTCCCTCTGGCTGGCTGACTGAGGGTCACTTTGCCCACCGTGTCTTGTATCATGTTGTGCAGGTGCTGCCAGAACAAAACCACAGAGCCCAGGGAACAAACCTGCATCCAAAAAGGTATTCCCCCCACACAGCCCCACTATCAACAATAAATGAGCAAATATTAATAAATGTGGAAAGAGATTAAGACTATTGTAGGAAAGGAAAAACAAATACACGATGAGTAATGGAAAGAAAATTTTTTTGAGAGGGTAGAGGGAGGAGAAATAATTAGAGAATAGAAACAAGGTTAAAAAAGAATGAAAATAAAATTTACATTGTAAATTAAAATGGGGGAGGAGAGAAGGCAAAATGGAGTAAGAAAAGGAAAGAGTATAATATGAGGTTTAAATTTTTTTTAATAGGGAAAAATAGGAACAAAAATAAAAACATCCATCACAGCAATATCAATGACAAATGAGCAAAGATTAATTCTGGTGGAAAGGAAATAAGAAGAAAAAAGAAAGGAAAAAGAGGAAGGAAAAGTGATTTTGAGGGGATAGAGGGAGAAGAAATAATGAGAGCAAGAAATGAAAACCAGGCTATGAAAGGGTAAAAGTGAAATTTAAAATTAAAAAATAAAGGGCAGGGGGAAGGCAAAATGGAGTAGGAGAGGGGAACAGTAAAATTCGAGATTTGAAATACAAAAACAGTGAACATCTAGGAATAAAACTGAAGAAATGCAACAACAGCCACCATATTAACAACCAATGAGCAAAGATTAGTAAAGGTGGAGAGAGAATAAGGGTATTATAAGAAAGAGAAAAAGAATGTGAGATGACTAATGGCAAGAAAAATCATTTTGAGAGGCTGCAGGGAGGAGAAATGTTAAGAGTGCGGAATAGAAACAAGTTGTAGAGAGGGAAAAATAAAATGTAAAACAAAAAGAAGAAGAAAGAAGGCAAAATAGAGTAAGAGAAGGGAGGAACAAAATATGAGATTTGAAATAAACTAAAATTTTAAAAATAGTGAAATAATAGGAACAAAGTTGAAGAAAAAAATGTTAATAAGCTATGCAGGAGAGAAAAATAACACAAATAATGAAGAAGACTTCATCTCAGCAGAGTCCAGTGTTTCCCACTGTCTTCTCTTTCTGGATCTGCCCCTGGTAATGTCAGATGGTGTCCAAGTCTAGCCCTAGGCAGCCTGTTTGAGACTACCAGTGATGCCCCATCTATTGCTGCCTCCTTCAGGCTTGGCTGGTTCCCACTGTTCTGCCCTTCTGGCTTTCCATCAGCAGAAGGCCCAGGAGTGGTTCATCTAATGTCTGGAAGCACTGCCAGTACTGCCTCCACCTGCCTCCAGAGGGGGCCTCTGGTGCAATCGTGAGGGTGGAATCCCTGGGTCACCCCTGGGGGACACTGTTCAGTCTTTAGGGAAGATGGTGGGAGTGTTTCCCTGCCACAGGTCTTGGTTTATCCCACATTATTTTCCAATAATGTGTAGTTTCTCATGAATTAGCTGTCCGTTTCCTGTGAGGGGCCAATCTGTGTAAAAAGGGCAACTCTGTATAAGAGCTGAGCCTAGGTGGGGCCCTAAACCCCACTTGTTGCGCCTGTCCCTAATCCCTCTGCTCTGTTGGTTTCAGTGGACCAGGGCCCGAGGAACCAACATAGCTCGTAGTGTCTGATAGAAGTTCAGAAAGGGCCCTTTCAGAGCTTTTCCTTTCCCCTGTGGGTATGGCTGAATAGGGGGCTCCTAAGCTGGTCTCACTGATCTGCAGAGCCTACAATCCCACAGGTAGGTGTTGGGCATACCTGCCTGTGAGGGACCTGCCTGGCTCCAATGAATCTCAGGCATTCAGCTCCTGGCTGTCCAGTCCCCAGCCTGCCACTCTTCCAAGAGATTCAGGCCCAAACTCTCCACTCTTCACAGCCCCCTGCTCACCAACTGTGCTGTGTTGGGTCCCACAGTCCCTTTAGTGTGACACTTTCCTGTGAAATTGGACTCAGTGGGACCAAACTGTGCTTTCATTCTGGTTTCTTTGTTGGTTAGAGTTGCTGTGTGCACTTGTGTGAGCACAGGGTCCTTGCCAGGTCTTGCCTTGGCTCCTTTTAAAAGTTTCTATGTGGCCCCCACACTGCAGCAGTGAGCCTTGGGCCAGTTCTCCACGCGCTCCATTTCCCCAAAGGTGCAGAGTCTCTCTTGGTCAGGGCTGGCTGCAGCCTGCCAGTGTTTCAGACGGTTTTAAGAGATACAGTTTCTCTCTGGAGCTCTCCCAGTTGGCACTGCAGCTATGGAGATGCTGCTCACCATGTGAGTGTAGCCTGAGTCTCCCAGACTTTGTATATCCTTCCAAGTCTCTCTCAATTATGGTTGGTTTCCTTCTGTGGGACCAGGGCCGTGCTCTGGGAGGGGAGGGAGCCATTAAGCTGTGTTTTCTGTCTGTTCTCTCCTCTGCTGCAGGTACCTCACACAGGGTATTTTCCCCTCAACTTATAAAATCTCTTACCAGATTGTGCAAAGCATCCTCTGTACTCCTTGGCTTCAAAAATTCATATCATGTTCAGTTCACTTGTGGGAAGATTAGCTGAAAATCCATGCCGGGGGCACAGGCAAGTGGGCTTAGCTTGCCTGTTGTCTTCTTTTTTTTTAAATATTTTATTTATTTACTTTTTAGAGAGAGGGGAAGGGAGGGAGAAAGAGAGGGAGAGAAACATCAATGTGTGGTTGCCTCTCACACGGCCCCCACTGGGGACCTGGCCTGCAACCCAGGCATGTGTCCTGACTAGGAATCGAACTGGTGACCCTTTGATTCACAGCCCACACTCAATCCACTGAGCTACACCAGGCAGGGCTTGGCCGCCATTTTCTGAATCCCCATTTTCTATATTGTGTACTCCATACCTCCCAGACAGTGTATAGTCACTGGGGTACAAACATAACTAAAACATGTTCCCTGCTCTTAGGATCTTGCATTCTAGTAGAGGAGGAAATAATTATGTCAACAAAGAGAACCCAGCGTGGTATAAGCTCTAGCAAAGGTGTGTATTGGTATTATTTAATAATGTCATATGGTGGGGAGAATGATTAATTCTCTATAGAATGAGCATTTAATGGCTCATCAAAGGGAATTTAAAGGCTGTGAAAGAGTTTACCAGGTAGAAAAGGCATGAAAGGGGACCACATTTCAGGCTCAATAGCCGTATGTGTGTAATGGCTGCTGTATTGCACTGTAGTAGGACTATAGCTTACTCTAAAAGTCTCCTTTCAGGTCTTACCCACGTCCCTGTAACATCTGGCAATGCCACACCCATCCTCTCCCATATCCCCCCCCCCACCCCCCGGTAACGTTTGGACCATTTCATTGTTCTGATTTTGACTCCTGTGTCTTCCCTCCTGGCTCCTTTTATTGTACCCCATCCAAAACATGGGCACCCACCCCTTGATTTAGGCCTGGACCTCTGCCTGCCCCTCCACATGTTCCTTGTTTTTATTTACATCCTCTCATTCCAGATCAGCTCATCTGAAAGCACGCTCATCTTCCTTCCTGATCCTTGCTAAACTTAGATCTGCCTGCCGTGTTTCACCATTTCACTCTTGAAGAGTCATCCTTGACAATTTCCTGTCCTCCATCACCCATGGTCCATAAGCTACCAAATCTTGTGGATTCTTCCTTAATGAATCTGAATTCTGTCTCTTCCATTTCTGCCATCCAGTTAGTCTGGTCCTTTGTCATTACTTCATATCCAGGCTATCTGAAATAATTTTCCTCTGTCCAGTTCATCCTGCAGATCATGGCTTGGCATTTGACATCCTATATATTTTTATCAATACTTTATCCTTTTTCCTTAGCCTTACTGTCTGCCATTCCATCTAAAGTTTTATAGTAATATTTAAATCAGGTGGCCACCTTGTCTCTCAAACATTACTAGCCTCCATTTAGCATTTACAGAAATTCTATCTGCACACACAACAGTCAGGAAATACATACACTTGTCTGCCTCTTCTGTGGAGATACTTGTTCTAATTTAAGTGACTCCTTCCCTCTGAGCTTCTATAGCATTAATTTACCACATTATTTTAGTGTAGTTTCAGGTGTGATACTTGCTGCTCAACCAAAGTGTTAGCATTTTGACTTGTATTCTTTTGTGTGACAGTCAAATGATTATTAATTGATCATTCAAAAAGTCCTTCCTTGATCTAAATATTAGCTTTGGTTTTTTTCCTGAAATGTATATGTTGAGGTTCAATATCTTTTATTTGAAACATTCCATTATTTGTGAGAAAAATGTCAGTTTTCTCAGATGGAATCTTTAACCTTATGATGTAATACAATACAATTCTGTAAACGCAGGGATAGATATTACTGGAGAGAGACTGAAGTAAACATCTCTGAGGATTTTCCTTTAGGTTGACACCGTCAGAATTGTTCACATTCATTCTGTCATCATCCTGCGACGTTCTGATAAGAGGAAGGATCGGGTGGAAATTTCTCCAGAGCAACTATCTGCGGCCTCGACGGAGGCGGAGATATCCTTATTGGTTGATAAGAAGCTTTTATGTGCTATGGGGCTTCTAGGCCAGGTTCCTCTGTTCCCTTAGCTTGCTTTAGGAGACTGCACAGGTTCTCTTCCTGGTGGCTCGTTCTCAGCTTTCATATTTACCCCCTAGATCCAATTGCTTGGTTAATCAGAGTTTTTGCCCCCTTCTCCTTTTGAGTGGCTTTAATTGGAAGAATTAGAAATTTCTAATATTCCTGTTCTTAAATACCAAAAGATGGCAAGGTCAAATCCTATGACAGCAAACTCTATGCGGAGTACCTTCCTCCTCCCCACCAAACCTCTTCAGTCCCCTCTCCCACCATCGATTTTCCTAGTATCATTAAATTTCTAGGCTTTTTATTATCTTGATCTCTATCATTTGGGAGGATTCTCTTTTGAGGCTGTCTCAAAACAAATGCCATGCTAAAAACTGAATGCAATATTCCATGTTAAATACCACCAAAGAGTGATCAAACAGGACATTTGCTTCCCATAATCTGGATTCCCTACCTCAGCTATAGCAAGTTAAATTTGCATCAGTAGTTTTAGTAATTTATCAGTCTTTTGGATAAGTTAATAACTTTTAAAAATAGGTTGTATGTATGCATAGTATAAATTTTAAGAGGAACAAAAAGGTACACAAAATAAGTATTTTTCTCCAATCTCTGTGTTCCAGTTTTCCCCACCGTCCCTCTCTGGACATAACCAGAGTTATCAGGTTTTCACGTATCCTTACATATAAATTCTGTGACTATAGAAATTTATGAATATTTTCTTGTTTTTCAAAGTACTTAACACATTCTGCATTTCACACGTGTGTACATGTGTCTGTAGGACCAATTCCTAGAGGTGGAATTGCTGTTACCCTGCACACTCACAGACTGTGTGTGTTGTCAAAGTTTTGTTTTTGTTTTCTTGCTACCAGGCCCTGGTAGACCCAAGTTTTTGATTGTTGCCACTCTGTAATTGTATCTTATTTTTTAAGGGTTATTTGTATTTTCCTCTGAAGTATCTGGTTATTTCCTTTGCCCATTTTTCTATTTATTTGGAAATCTTTTTCTTAATTTATAGGCACTCTGTGTGTTAAGAAGATTAGCCCTTTGTGATAAGGATAATGATTTTTCTCATCTTACTCAGGGTGTATGAGTTTTTGTCCAGATTGTTTTTGCGTTTTTATATAATCAAATGTAGCATGTGTTTTTGTGGTGTGTACCTTTTTTAAAGCTCTTTATTTTGAAATAATTATATAGATTCATTGGAAGTTGCAGAGATAGTATAGAAAGGTCCCTGTTCCCTTCACCTTGTGCCCTTCTCCTGAAGGTTACATTTTACATAATTTATAGTGTAATATGAAACTGGGAATTGACATTGATACAGTATGTTGTTCTACACCATTTTGTCACATGTATAGATATAGGTAACAACCATCGCAGTCACAATGTAGAACTATTCCATCGCCATAAAAACCTACCTCATGTTCCTCCAGTATAGTCACCCTACCCCAACCCTTGGAAGTCACTAATCTGTTCTTTATCTGTATAATGTAATTTCAAGAATGTTTGGTAAATGGAGTCATACAGTCTGTGATCTTTTAAGACTGGTTTTTTTATTCCACCCCTTCCCACATTCCTACCCTTACCACCACTAATCTCTTTTCCATCTCTTCACTAAGGATTGGATTTTCTTGTTTTTCTACATGCCTGGTAATTTTAGGTCACATGCCACACATGTTTTTTCTCTTGCGTGCTGGATGTCTTTGCACTTACTACTACACATAATTTCTCAGCTTTCTTTTCAATGCTATTAAGTTACCCAGAATAGTTGTACCCTTTAGAGTCTGGCTCTGAGGGTTTGCTGTGTGGGCCCTTTCAGAATGGGAGTCATCCCCCGCTCCCCCGCCGCCCCCCCCCCACACTACTGACGCAAAACCCTTGGGAGCGCCCTGCCCGATGCCTCCCAAATTGTGAGGGTTACCATCCTGGCTGGCGGGGACAGCCACCAGTCCCTGTCCAGCCTGAGCTCCCGGCATGGTTCCCTTTCATCCCTCCAGGTAGTTCTCCCCCGGCCTCATGTACTCCCCTCTCATGCTTGTGCTGAGCCGTGGTCTGCGGAATACTCCAGGGGACCCTCTGCGGTTAGGCAGCGTCCTCGCCCTGCGCCACGCTCTTCCCCTGCGGTCCTCTACCTCGCTCACTCTACCTATTGAACTGTCTTAAACCCAGGGAACTGGCGAGCTCCACCTCAATTCCCCTTTCTGCTCTGTGGCCTGGAAGTTTTCTGAAGCACTCATCTTGTTTGTTTCCCACTTACTGACTTTCCTGTTTCGTGTAATACAGTTTGTTTGCTTGTCTCAGGCAGGAGGGTAAGTCCAGTCCCTTTTATTTCATTTTAGCCAGAAGCAGAAAGCCCATTCATTGGTGTTTAAACAAACAAAAACAAACTTTGCCAAAATAAAATTCCCAGAAAATAATGATATAAAAGATATTTATTATTGTGATTATAACCTGTTAATAATCTATAATAATCTGTTATAAATTATAATTTTATAATCTTTATACATTATAAAGTTATAATCTATTATAACTTTTAAACTAAAACTAGTCCATTCCAAAAATGGGAGAGGGATGGCTGTATGCATTGTCACATGTTAATGTGCTAACATGACAATGAGTGCTGTTAAGCACTTAACTCAGTGCCAGGCATGATGCTAAACACCTTGTTTGGATTACCTCAATTACTTTTCACTGCTGTGTGAGCTGGATTTCCCCCCAGTCTGCAGCTGAAGAAATGGGTTTAGAACAGTTAAGTGATTTCTTTTGGCATTTGAAAGTAAAAAAAAAATACTTAAAATGTATTCTTTCTCAGACTTAGTTGTAAAGAAAAGATTATTGTGTTTTAATGTAATTTGCAGGGAAGTGAGCCAGCATGTTACACATTAGCAGCAGCAGGCTCAGTGAGCAGCAACAGAAGGGGACACCTTATGTCTGAGTTGATTTCTTATCTCAAGTTAGAGATTCAGAATTAATGGCAAAATTTTATTTCTAGAACGAAGGAGGAAAATATTCCTTTGGGGGATATTTCCAGACAAACGGGGAGACTGGACTAAGTTTATTTGGGCTCTGAAACTACCCTACTTGCTATTGTTGATATTGGCAGCCTGCCAGAGAGAAATCAAATAAATTTTTTAAATCTTACATTTCTTTTTCAAAAATTGGAATGGGATAGAGCTAGAAAGAGAGTGGAAGAATACTTAAGGTAGTAATGTGACTTCCAAGGATTAAAAAAGTTCTTCAAATAGCACACTAATAAGTATTTGAGTGATCAAACGTTAGCTAAATTGGATTAAGAGGATGTAACTATATATGATAATGGGAATCAAATGGATTCCATTTTTAAAGGGTTTTTAAAAAGATTTTATTTATTTATTTATTTTTAGAGAGGGAAGGGAGGGAGAAAGAGAGAGAGAGAAACATCAATGCGCGGTTGCTGGGGGCCATGGCCTGCAACCCAGGCATGTGCCCTGACTGGGAATCGAACCTGCGATGTGTGGTTCGCAGCCCGCGCTCAATCCACTGAGCTACACCAGCCAGGGCTGGATTCCATTTTTAAAAAAGAAACACCTTTGTTTTTCTTTTTTTAAAAATGGGAAGCCCATGAAATTTTGGGCATCAACTTTATTTCATTCTTTTATTGACCTTGTATTGTAAGTGGTTTGTTTTAAACCTCAGGATACTCTATGAGCCATTATTAATATCACAGATTTTGCTCCCACCAGTTGAAGAAAATTCCTTGACAGGCACACAGATTGGCTGAACTAACAGGTCGCCCCATGAGAGTTGTGGGCTGGTATCATTCCCATCCTCATATAACTGTTTGGCCTTCACATGTTGGTAAGTATAATGGGGTTGCAATATTTATTGTTCTTAGAAATACACGTAGTTTTCCTTTTCTTTTCCATGACATGGGCTATGGTTGTTTTAAACCAAAATCTAATTATCCTTAATCAGGTGTCCTTATTTTTATTGTTATGTTTTTTTTAAAGATTTTATTAATTTATTTCTAGAGATAGGGGAAGGGAGGGAGAAAGAGGGGAAGAGAAATATCAATGTGTGATTGCCTCTAGCTCCCTCTACTGGGGATCTGGCCTGCCACCCAGGCATGTGCCTTCACTGGGAATCAAACCATCGACACTTTGGTTCGTAGGCCTGCATTCAGTCCACTGAGCTACACCAACCAGGGTCTATTGTGCTATGTTTTAAAAGTGATGATTGATATCATATTGATTGTTTTTAATAGAGATAAATTTTCAGCGCTCTATTTTGACTGTTTAGGAAATCAAGATTAACTAAAGCCTTACAATTGGCTGATATTAAAAAACATGTAACTTTGCCCTGACCTGCATGCTTCAGTTGGTTGAGCATTGTCCCCTAAAGACAAAAGTTGCCAGTTCAATTCCCAGTCATGGCACATTCCTGGGTTGTGGGCTAGGTCCCCTGTTGGGTTTGTGCAAAAGGCAACCAATAGATATTTCTCTCCCTTTCTTTTTCCCTCCCTTCTCCTCTCTCTAAAATAAAATCTTTTTAAAAAGGTAACTGAAAATTGGTGATTGCTGATTGCTGAATGTCACTGTCCCACACACTCCTGTATGAAGGGTGAAATTTACAAAACTGATGTTCACAATCTCTGTTTTACACACATTCCATCCTAGTTGTTGGAGTTCTCAGCCTGCCTCCTTACCACTCTAATCAGTATAATGCCACAAAATTACTTTCTCTCTTTTTATCTTTACCCCTTCCCTGAATCATGGTTATTTTGTTGTTGTTGTTGTTTCTACCTGACTTTCCTGAAGTAAAATAAATAACTGTACTTGGGGAAAGTAAAATAATATTCTTGAACACTTAACTGCATGCTACTGGTTTATGAATGTTTTCTTCTCTAATCCTCATGGCAGCCTATGAGTTGGAAATCTTTCCCTCTTGGACTGAGGATTAAATAGAGACTCACAAGTTAACTAAGCAGCAGAGCTGAGGTCTGAACCCAGGTCTGTCTCCTAAGTCTGCGCTCTTCCCATGGTGATGTTCTGTTTCTAGTTATAGGGGCTTGAGTTGATTGCAAATTCTATATTCATCTTTGCTGTGATATAAATGCCAAAAAATCCACAGCAGTGCAGTGTCCAACTTTAATAATAGATGAGTGGTTCTGTATCTAGAGTAGTGATTCTTGGTGTGGGGAGGGATACTTCTCAGAATCATCTGGGAGAGATTTTGTAAAATGTACTGTACTAAATTCATTTTTTTTCCAACCTGGACATACTGTTAGAACCTCTGGGAGTAGGTCATAGGTGGGTATATTACGAAAAAGCTCCTCAAGGAATTCTGGTTCATGGCCCCAGTTAAATACTGATTTAGAATAAGGGAGGTAATGTATTTGCTCTGTTTCTTGCTGACAGAAACTTACACCTGACCATTGTAACATAGTAGTGGCATGCCTAAGATACCCCATATTAACAAAAATGTATAATTAAAATGGTTCTTTCAATGGAAAAGAAAAAGTTTGAAACTAGAACTTGCAATAACAAGAGTAGAGGTGTCTTTAACTTTTATTTTGACATAATGTGAGGGTGAAAGTTGATAAAATAGTACAAAAAATTCTTGAATACTCTGTGCCTAGATTTGCCAAATGCTAACATTTACAATATTGGCTGTGTCATTCTTTCTACTATATCCATGCATTACCTGTGTGTATGTGTATTTGCATCTGAGTACAATGTTTTCCTCGAAGTATTTGAAAGTAACTACTCTCCTAAATACTTTTACTCCTAAAAGTAGACACTACTCTCCTTTACTCCTAAATACTTTTCAGTGTGAATTCCCTAAACACAAAGATACTCTCTTATATAATTATAGTACACTTATCAAAATTGAGAAATTAATATTGATATAATACTCTTATTGAAATTATTGACCTTATTTAAATTACTGACCATATTCAAATTCTTTAGTTGGCTCACTAATGTCCCAATAAAGGTTGGTTTTATAGCTATGAATGTATTCCTGTAAAACCTTAATATCACTGAATAAATTCAGTGTTTGATTGTACCTAACTTTTACTCAGTAATAAAAGCTATTGCTTTCTTGCCACCACCAACACTAAAATCAAATTTGGCTCAAATTTCTCCTATGGTAGTGCCATCAGCCAGAAAGAGGTAAGTACCAACTTCTAATGAAAGTGGAGTGTATGTTCCTGAGCAGTTATTGGAGCTCATATTTCTGAACAGTTATTGTCACTATGGTAATAAGTTAGAATTGAAAGGATGTAAAATTTTGTAGTAAGAAAAGTATCTCCCTAAGAACTTAGGGAAAAAAACAGTGTCAGTCTCTGAAGTTTAATACCCAAAAAGTGTTGATAGTTCAGAGAATGATTGAATTTTCCTCTCAGGGGTGGAAGAGCCAAGCCGTTAAATAAGAACCTAGAGAAGCATTTGCGATGCAGCAGTGAGAGTAGTTAGAAAACCAGGGTACTGGAGAATGTAACTGAAAAAATCAACTGTAAATCATAAAATGATTAAGGGGCCAAATGAAAATAATTCAACACAGTGGATTTGGAGCCTGGAGCATTGGGATCTTACCTGGAAACAATAATTCTTAATGGGATAAGCCAAAGGAACAAATAACAAACTGTAATAAAGGCTATGCTCAAGAGACTTCTAAGAGTGTTAATATTTTAAACTGCAAATAGCAAGTTCAGAGAGTTATCATACCATGAGCGCTGGGAATACCAGCTTTGGATTCTGTTAGGAAGTAGGTCTGTGTTAAAATCTCATTTCAGTCACTGTTTTTTTTAATCCCAATTCTTAGTATTTTATTGTTTATGCTATTACAGTCATCTCGATTTTCCCCCTTTGTTCCCCTCCACCCAGACCCCTGGGTAATCCCCACACCGTTGTCCATGTTCATGGGTCATGCATACGTGTTCTTTGGCCCCTTCCTTCATCATCTTTCATCCAGTTTCCACCCCCCTCCCCTCTTATAGCCGTCAGTCTGCTCCATGTTTTGGTCACTTACCAGCTGAGAAGACCTTTTAACCTCTGTGCCATAGTTTCCTCTCTGACAGAAATGGAGAGTATGTTATGGTCTCAGAGTTGTTAGGAGCAGTATATGAAATCATGTATATTGGCATTTTATTCTATGCTTATCACAATACCAAAGATAGATACCAAAGCATTTATTGATAAAACTCTTGAAGACAAAACACACACACACACACACACACACACACACACACACAGTACAATTAAATACCTAAAGTTGAAGGGCAGAGAACATTTGAAGAATTAACAGTATGAATATATTAGGTCTCTCAGCTAGATCTCAAAATATTTGTGGTAATAAAACTATGGGTAGAACTAAAGAAAAAATAATCTCCTAACTAAGCTGGTGTTCACAATGAATAGATTGCTGTGGATTTCCAGAGCCTAGGGGGCTTCATAGATAGAAAGATATAACTCGTCTCCAAACAGCTGTTCAAGAATTGAGTCAAATGGGCCCTGTAGTAGCAAGCCTTGGTGGGGAAAATGAGTGATGACTAAAAACAGGTTGATTTAAAGTCTGTACAGTAAGTATGTTTAATAGGAAAATAATTCCAAGCTATGTTAAAGAATGACACGTGAGAAGGGGTGGGATTTTTTTCCATTAAAGATAAGGTGGGGAGGGAGAGGGATGTGGCAGTGACGTGTATTTGTGTGTGTGTAACAAACATTTGAATGGTTTTTATGATGAGGTTACTAGTAGAATTAGGTTAAGTTCTAGTGGGTTAAATAAGACAGTGTTTTGAACACATTTTATAGGCTTATTGCATAAATGATTATTCAACAAATATTGGATACCTCTATGGAATAATGCAATCATGATTTCTGCTGTCTTGGAACTTATGATTTGGACTTTATGATTTTGTGGTGAAGAAAAACACAGTACTAAGGTTAAAACAAAGAGTAACAACAATAAAGAAGAAATAGAACATTTGTACCACCAGTTTAAACAGGGTAAACACCTATAAAAATGAAAGCCTCAGGATTAAGAAATAAACACAATAATATATCATTAAAGACAAGCTAGAAACCTAAAAACTTGATCAAAAAGTAGCAGGCTAGATTAAGCTATAAGCTTAATATTAAAGCTATATTAAGCTTTATTTTTCTCCTTAAGCTATAAGGAGAAAATAAAAGCAGCAGTTACATCATTAGCAAAAGGGTGAGAGAAGATAGGTCATTCTGTAATAAAAGGCACAGTAAATAATGAAACTCACAATGTTAAATTATGTTCCCCACCATAGAAATAAAATATACAAAGTTTTCCATGTAAGGAATAGAAAGGAAACTATTCATTCCTTCAAGAGTATAAAGTGAGGGTTTTGTTGTTGTTGTTGTTGTTTTGGGCTAGGGTTTCCAAAGGCAAGGGTAATATAGGTCAAGGAGACACACTAAAACTTTAAAACTTGGAGCAGACTGACAGCTGTCAGAGGGTTGCGGGGGCAGACTGGATGAAAGAAGATGAAGAGATTAGCCAAAGAACATATGCATAGGCCATGGACACAGACACAGTGAGGGCAGAGGGAGGGGAGGGCAAGGTCTGGGTGGAGGTGGGCAAAGGAGGGAAAAATAGGGCACATCTGTAATAGTGTCAGCAATAAAGAAAATAAGAACTAATAAGAACAACTGTACTTGAACAACAATAAAAAAGTGTTTACAAAAAAAAACCTAATAAGAAAACAATGAAAATCAGACTTGCAGAAAAATTGCAAGAATAACATGAAGAACCAGATTCAACAATCGTTAACCTTTTGCCAAATTTGTTTTATTATTTCTCTCTGTATCCCCCCAACACATACATTA